TTCACGGCCCCCTTTCAGGAGGGATTGGCGGGATCGCTTTTCGGCTGGAATTGCCGCATTCCAGCTCGAAAAGACGGATCCCCAAGACAACCTTCATCACGGCCCCCTTTCACGAGAGATTGGCCGGGGATCCGCTTTTCGAGCTGGAATGCCGGATTCCAGCTCGAAAAGCGGATCCCCAAGACAACCTTCATCACGGCCCCCTTTCAGGAGGGATTGGCTGGGGATCCGCTTTTCGAGCTGGAATGCCGGATCCCCAATACCTTCATCACGGCCCCTTTCAGGAGGATTGGCCGGGGATCCGCTTTTCGAGCAAGCGGATCCCCAAGACACGGCCCCCTTTCAGGAGGGATTGGCTGGGGATCTGGTTTTCGAGCTGTAATGCCGGATTCCAGCTCGAAAAGCGGATCCCCAAGACAACCTTCATCACGGCCCCCTTTCAGGAGGGATTGGCCGGGGATCCTTCATCACGGCCCTCTTTTCAGGAGGGATTGGCTGGGGATCCGCTTTTCGAGCTGGAATGCCGGATTCCAGCTCGAAAAGCGGATCCCCAAGACAACTTCATCACGGCCCCCTTTTCCGGAGGGATTGGCCGGGGACCCGCTTTTCGAGCTGGAATGCCGGATTCCAGCTCGAAAAGCGGATCCCCAAGACAACCTTCATCACGGCCCCCTTCATCACGGCCCCCTTTCAGGAGGGATTGGCTGGGGATCCGCTTTTCGAGCTGGAATGCCGGATTCCAGCTCGAAAAGCGGATCCGACAACCTTCATCACGGCCCCCTTTCAGGAGGGATTGGCTGGGGATCCGCTTTTCGAGCTGGAATGCCGGATTCCAGCTCGAAATGCGGATCCCCAAGACAACCTTCATCACGGCCCCCTTTCAGAAAAGATTGGCCGGGGATCCGCTTTTCGAGCTGGAATGCCGGATTCCAGCTCGAAAAGCGGATCCCCAAGACAACCTTCATCACGGCCCCCTTTCAGGAGGGATTGGCCGGGGATCCGCTTTTCGAGCTGGAATGCCGGATTCCAGCTCGAAAAGCGGATCCCCAAGACAACCTTCATCACGGCCCCCTTTCAGGAGGGATTGGCCGGGGATCCGCTTTTCGAGCTGGAAAGATCTTTTTTGTGCATCTGTGCCTTTTCTTCTGGCTTCTGTGCTTTTTTTTTGGCGGGCTGCAATTTGGCTTTGAGCACCAACTTGGTATTTGAGTTTTGGGTAGTATGCAAGATGTTCGCAAGTTTCAGGCCAAACAGTTTTGAAATTGTTTTGTGATCGGTCTTTGCTCACTCAAACATTTTGCTGAAATGCATTGCGCCGCACAACCCCATGCAGTGGGCCCCAATAGTGAAGACACCCCAACTCCTTTGCCCCTTTTATGCAGTTTGCAAACATTGAGGCGTTTTTAACATATTGAGCCAGTCCCACTCAAGCCCCTACTCCACCAATTCTCCTGCAGGTCGTAGACTCAGGTACTCAGATTGGCCAAGTGCCAAGGTTACCAAGGACAAGCGTGAAGGGTCGAAGCCGGTCGAAAGCACAAAAAGGCGCTGATCAAGTGCCTGTGCAAAGAAAAAGGCGCTAAAGAGCGCTGAGTAAGTGCTCTGTCGCTTCGGTCGTTCCTGCCTGGATGCACTTGACAAGTCTTGGAGAAGCTGGTTGGTCACATCACAAAATGTCATCTTTTGAAACGCTGTGTCAGATCATTGCTGGCGGCCGTCCAGAGGTGGTAGAACCAACCCACTGTGCAACAATGACTTGTTAAACAAACCCATCAACAGGACACACACACAGCCATGACTAATGACCGGATTCGGGATGTGCTATTGGATTCTTTAAGTCGCATCCATTTACAGGGCACAGACAAAAAGGCGCTGAGTAAGTGCCTGGGCGCTGAGAAAGTGCAAGTGACCGCTGAGCAAGTGGAGAACTGGTTTCATCCCTGAAGACGCATGTGAAGCCTCATCCACTGAAGGTTGAAAGAAACGTTAGCACTCTTTTGTTTGGGATTCGGGCGCAATTCCTTATGTGCACTTCCCTCCCCACCCCCCAACTGTGTTCTCAGGACCTGGACACTGCACCAGCAGCTGCCAGAACGTTCCTCGGCTGCATTCAATGACGAGCTTTCAACTTAACGGGCAATGCGTGCAGCAATGCATGCACAGCAATTCCCCTCTCGCACTTTTTTGCCCTGCGATGTTCGCTGGAAGAGGTCAGTCTGACATGGCAAAGCGGTTCCGAAACGCATGTGTTTTGTGCTGGTCCGATTGTCTCGTTACACATGGCTTGTTGTTTGTTCCGCATGTGCTGTGCTGCCTGTCCTGAATTTTCGTTCACCGCTCTTTGCCACATTCGCCACTCAGCAGTGTTGCACCTGGCTGTCATTCTCTCCTCTCTTTTTTTCCCTCTCTCTCTCTCTCTTTCTCTCTCTCTCTCTCTCTGTCTCTCACTCTCTCTTTCTCTCTCTCTCTCTCTCTCTCTCTCTCTCTCTCTCTGTCTCTCTCTCTCTCTCTCTCTCTCTCTCTCTCTCTCTCTCTCTCTCTCTCTCTCTCTCTCTCTCTCTCTCTCTCTCTCTCTCTCTCTCTCTCTCTCTCTTTCTCTCTCTCTCCCTCCGTACCTGTGTTGACACTTGCTCAGCGTCATGGGACACTTTGTCAGCGTCAGATTAATCAAACTCGCGCAAAGGCATCCCGAGAAAGTGAAACTTAAACCCTCCCACATGCCTCCTTTGCGCGCGGCGATCCTGGCACAGTGTGTCGCAGCAGCTTGGTCCAGTTTAGTTGCTGGTCCTCTTCACCTTTCTTTCATTTTTTCTTCTTTGGTGGTTGCGAGGGCTCCTGGCGCAACATGAAATTGCCATACTGCGCATCCATTGGTGGACATGCCTGGCACTGATGTGCTGCTTCTGGATCTGTTGCTGGCGCACTTCTCCTAGGCTGTGCCTGACACATTGTGCGTCAGTGATGTTGATTGCCGCATGCTGCGCTTTCGCAAGATCTCGTACTGGGACACTCACTCAGCGTCCGGAACACTTACTCAGCGTCCAGGACACTTGTCCAGCGTCTGGTTTTAACATCCCGACCCCCTGCGCCTTGGCCTTGCTGGACGCAGCCCGCTGTTCTGCCTGGACAGGCGTGATTCCACTCAGCATTGACACTCACTGCTACGTAGACAGTCGCGCCTTCTTCCTCCCGGGATCCTGTTGCTGCTGCAGCTTCTCATCTTTCGCCTCAGCCTCCATTCTGAGCAACGCTATCGCCGCCTGCAAGTCTGAGATCTTGCTTTCCATCGCCACCTTCTCGTTCTGCTTCGACTTCAGCGCCGCCTCCAGGTCTGCCTGCAAGGTTTCGACCCTCTGCTGCAGCCTTTTGCCGTGGGCCTCCCAGGTTGTGCACGCCTCCTGGAACCGCCTGAGCTCAGCTTCTTTCTGTTGAAGGGCCTGAGTGCTCTGGGCCTGGGCGGTGACCAGCTCATGGGTGTGCCGCGCAACAAGCTGGCTCATGTCCGCGGTGTACTTCTCATCGAAGCTGTTGCGCAGCATTGCCATGGCGCGGTCGTGCTCCAAGTTGCTCAGCCGAAGCTTGGTCTCCCACTTCTCCTCGCATTGCTCGAGGTCCCGCTCTGCCCGCCTCAGGTCCTGGCGAACCCGCCAAACCTCATGGCGCCTCTCCTGCGCAGCATCATGGCGGTGGCCGTGGCGTTCGCCCTTCTGACCTTTCTCGCCTTTCTCGCCCTTCTCGCCTTTCTCGCCGCCCTTCTCGCCCTCCTCGCCGCCGCCCTTCTCACTGCCCTTCTGGCTGCCGCCACCCTTCTCGCCGCCGCCCTTCTCGCCGCCCTTCTCACCCTTCTCGCCGCCTTTGATGCCCTTCTCGCCGCCTTTGAGGCCTTTGTCGTCGTACTGCCGCTCGCCGCCTTTGATGCCCTTCTCGCCGCCGCCTTTGACGAAGCCCTTCTCGCCGACGCCCTTGTCACTGCCCTGGCCCTGGCCCTTGTCGTCGCCCTTCTCGCCTTTTGCGCCACCACTGCCCATCTTGCCGCCGCCTTTCTCGCCGCTGCTGCCGCGAGCATTGACGCCCTGGCCCTGTTGGCCTTTCCAGCGCCAGTCCACCTGGCCTTTCTGGCCCTTGCTGTCCATGGCTGCCGCTCAGGAAGCAAGTGAGACCTGCTGCACACCTGTTGGCTTTGTTGACTCGCTGCTTGCATGTGGTGCTCCACTTGGCTGTTCTGGTTGGGTGCCGTGCTTCTTAGGCTACATGCCATGTTTCAAACGCATGTTAAATATGTGAGCCATGACCTGCGCGGGCATGCTCATTTATCTATCTCTGTCTTTCCGTCTTTGTCTCTGTCTCTTTCCCTCAGACCATCTCAGACCATAATGCGCGCGATTGACACTTGCTCAGCGTCATTGACACTTGCTCAGCGTCATTGACACTTGCTCAGCGTCATTGACACTTACTCAGCGTCACCATGCACACTTGTGCAGCATCATTGGCATCTTGCAGCACTGCTATGAAGCCAAGGTTCAGCGGCTCAGCTTCGCCATCACCAGCACACGGTGGACCTGCAAGGCGGGAGTCATGGCCAACATCGCATGTGCAATGAAGCATGTGCCGCTGATAATAGTGGCAGTGACGCTGAGAAAGTGTCATTTTTCGAGAGACGCTGAGCAAGTGTCACAACAAAAACAAACATCACAGGTGATCGCATGCCAATGGATGTCTTGAATCACTGTCGGTGTTTGTCAGCCGCATTTTGCCAGCCAAGTCGGCCCGACAACAACCCGCTACAAGGTCATGGCGCACAGAGGTGTTGAAAAGCTCCTTTTGGTTGAGGGGCTCACTAAAGCAGGCTGTGACCCTAAGCTGGCAAGATGCTTGGTCACCATGTGGGTGCATGAGTGGCAGAACATGTGGTCCGAGTATGAGCCCTTTGTCAGCTTTCTGGAGTCCAAGTTCTACCGTTTGGAAGCTGAGATACATGGCAAGCCTGCTATGTGGGGGCGCGCAGTGGTGTCTGTCAAAGAACTGGAGGCGAATTGGGCAAAGTTGGTCTTGGTCCAGATCTTGGAAATCACCCTTGAAGCTGATTAAGTGTTTAAGCGCAATGCTCATGTGCCCCTAATTCAGCCTTATGAGGTGCTACCATGCCCTTGGCTGTGCATTGCAGCAGCTCGCACCAACGAGCGATTAAAACGATGAAATTGCTTGCCCACTCGCCGAACATTGTGTATTATGACTGCGTGCGTGCGCGTGTGCGCGTGTGTGCGTGCGTGCGTGCGTGCGTGCGTGCGTGCGTGCGTGCGTGCGTGTGCGTGTGCGTGTGTGTGTGTGTGTGTGTGTGTGTGTGTGTGTGTGTGTGTGTGTGTGTGTGTGTGTGTGTGTGTGTGTGTGTGTGTGGGTTGTGTGTGTGTGTGTGTGTGTGTGTGTGTGTGTGTGTGTGTGTGTGTGTGTGTGTGTGTGTGTGTGTGTGTGTGTGTGTGTGTGTGTGTGTGTGCGTGTGTGCGTGTGTGCGTGTGTGCGTGTGCGTGTGTGTGTGTGTGTACGTGCTTTGTGTGTTCAGACATGCTGTTTTTCTGTGGTGTGTTTCTTGTTTTTTGCGTGTTTTTGGGGACCTATGGGAGTCCGCCTTCCCCGGGAGAAGGCGGACTCCCATAACTCCCCAAAATCACGCAAAAACACAACGCAAAAGACGCACAACGTGCAGAAACCTGCGGAAAACAGCGCCTGGAAGGTCTCGATGCAAGCCTGCCACTGCAGCTGCGCCAGGAGCAGAGCCTTAGGTTGAAATTCATTCGTCATCAGCTGACTTGAACTTGATTCACAGCAAGCCCAGAATTAAATGAGCCAATCAGGGATTGAAAACGGAACCCATTCCACTCAGGACAACGCTCGACATCAAGCAGAACCAGCGCAACCCGTTTGCCTGGCCTGTTTTATATGACCTAACGGTTTCAATTTCTGCTTGAAATTTCCTGAGAAGACGATTTTGACTAATTGCCAGGACGCTGACTAAGTGTCAGGACGCTGATTAAGTGTCAGGACGCTGATTAAGTGTCAGGAGAATGATCAAGTGTGGGCTGCCCGGCAGGACGCTGATCAAGTGTCAGGACGCTGATCAAGTGTCAGGACGCTGATCAAGTGTCAGGAGCTACTGAACTCAGCAGAAATTTCTCCATCCTTGCGTGACACATTGACGCAAAGTTGCTGTGGATTGAGCATGGTGGTTCAAGAAGAAGACACGGGCCACCTTCCCCATGCACGCACACACAGACAGACACTGCGCATCCCCGCATCACCTCAAGCAGGTAAGGGCCAAATTGGCAATCTTGTTGTCTGTGCCTCCTTGATGAGATGGCCGGCGCACATGACGAAGTTGAGCTTCCAGATGATTCAGACTCTGATTGCTTGGAGCTGCCATCACCAGACAGTGACAACACAGAGCCAGCGCCCAGCTGTTGCGCTCAGGGCTGTTTAGCTGCCTTTGCCGAGTCCCCAATGTTGAAGTCCAACCTGGCAGACTTGCGAACAGCAATCGAGAAGTCCACAAAGTTTGATGCCGATTCGGTGCGGTTTGATTGCTTGCGCCAATGGCTAGATGGCTCAGGTTGGAGAAAGCACAAGTTCTGCGGCATGCCACTTTGCAGAGAAGCTGTTTGCCATGCGCTGGTTATGAGCAAGACAGTGTACAGCAAGCTCTCTGACCACATTGCAGCTGGGTTTATCAACGCGCCAGCCGATATGAGAACTGTTGGCGCAAATCAGAAGCACAGTGAGAAGGCGCAGCTCAGTGCCACTGTCTTGTTGCAGTGGATTCACCCACCGGCACGATTCTGCGCAAGAGAGGCGCCATGAGGTTTGGCGGGTTCGCCAGGACCTGAGGCGGGCAGAGCGGGACCTTGAGCAATGCGAGGAGAAGTGGGAGGCCAAGCTGCGGTTGAGCAACTTGGAGCACGACCGCGCCATGGCAATGCTGCGCAACAGCTTTGACGAGAAGTACAACGGGGACATGAGCCAGCTCGTTGCGCGGCACACCCATGAGCTGATCACTGCCCAGGCCCAGAGCACCCAGGCGATTCAGCAAAAGGAAGCCGAGCTCAGGCGGTTTCAGGACGCGTCGGCGACCTGGGAGGCCCACTGCAAAAGGCTGCAGCAGAGGGTCGAGACCTTGCTGGGAGACCTGGAGGCGCTGCTGAAGTCAAAGCAGAACGAGAAGGTGGCGATGGAAGCTAAGATCTCCACCTTGCAGGCGGCGATGCTCAAAATGGAGGCTGAACTGAAAGAGAATCAGCAGCAGGATCCCGGGATGAAGAAGGTGCGACTGTCCACCTATCACTGTGCTGAATTGAATCAAGCTTGTCCAGGCTGAACAGCGAGCCGCGTCCAGCAAGTTCAAGGTGAAGGCGCATGTGGGTGGTCGGGATGCCCAACACCAGACGCTGGACAAGTGTCATGGACGCTGAGTAAGTGTTCCGGACGCTGAGTGAGTGTCCCAGACTACTAAGATTGGGAAATGCAGCAATCTACATCAAGCATCATTGACACAAAATGTGGCAGGCGCAGCCTAGGAAAAGCGTGCCAGCGACAGAGCCAGAAGCAGCGCAGCAGTGTCAGGCACGTCCACCAACAGACGCGCAGTATGGCAATTGCATGTTGCGCCAGGAGCCCTCGCAACCGTCGAAGAGAAAAAGATGAAAGAAGTGAGTCTCAGGAGGGGCATGTTGAGCAACTAAACTGGACCAAGCTTCTGCGACTAACACTGTGCCAGGATTGCCAACACAGAGGCACGTGGCTGGGTTTAAGTTTCACTTTATCGGGAGGGTTTAGGCATGCTGTTGCGCAATGGCAAGTTTGACAAATTCGACGCTGACAAAGTGTCGCATGACGCTGAGCAAGTGTCAACACAGGTACAGAGACAGAGAGAGAGAGACAGAGAGAGAGAGAGAGAGAGAGAAAGAGAGAGAGAGAGAAAAAGAGAGAGAGAAAAAGAGAGAGAGAGAGAGAGAGAAGGGAGAAGGGAGAAGGAAAGAGAGCGACAGCCAGGTGCAACAGGACATGGCACAGTGAACATCGCGGGCCAAAAGTGCGAGAGGGGAATTGTGCACACATTGCTCACACATTGCCCATTGCATTGGCATCAAGTTTGCAAGCTCATTGATGGGTTTAGCGCAGCCGAGGAACGTTCTGGCAGCTGGTCGCGCAGCGTCGAGGTCCTGAGGACAGACACAGTTGGGGGGTGGGGAGGGAAGGACACATAAGGTGTTGCAACCGAATCCCAAACAAAAGAGTTTCAACCTTCAGTGGATGAGGCTTCACATGCGTCTTCAGGGATGAAACCAGTTCTCCACTTGCTCAGCGGTCACTTGCACTTTCTCAGCGCCTAGGCACTTACTCAGCGCCTTTTTGTCTGTGCCCTGTAAATGGATGCGACTTAAAGAATCCAATAGCACATCCCGAATCTGGTCATTAGTCATGGCTGTGTGTGTGTCCTGTTGATGGGTTTGTTTAACAAGTCATTGTTGCACAGTGGGTTGGTTCTACCACCTCTGGACAGCCGCCAGCAATGATCTGACACAGCGTTTCAAAAGGTGACAACTTTTTTTGTGATGTGACCAACCAGCTTCTCCAACACTCAAGTGCATCCAGGCAGGAACGACCGAAGCGACAGAGCACTTACTCAGCGCTCTTTGCACTTGCTCAGCGCATAGGCACTTGCTCAGCGCCGTTTTCTTTGCACAGACACTTGATCAGCGCCTTTTTGTGCTTTCGACCGGCTTCGACCCTTCAGCCCTGCCTTTGCCATGCTTGTCCTTGGTAACCTTGGCACTTGGCCAATCTGAGTACCTGAGTCTACGGCCTGCAGGAGAATTGGTGGAGTAGGGGCTTGAGTGGGACTGGCTCAATATGTTAAAAACGCCTCAATGTTTGCAAACCGCATCAAAGGGGCAAAGGAGTTGGGGTGTCTTCACTATTGGGGCCCACTGCCTGGGGTTGTGCGGCGCAATGCATTTCAGCAAAATGTTTGGGTGAGCAAATACCGATCACAAAACAATTTCAAAACAGTTTGGCCTGAAACCTGCAAACATCTTGCATACTACCCAAAACTCAAATACCAAGTTGGTGCTCAAAGCCAAATTGCAGCCTGCCAAAAAGGCACAGAAGCCAGAAGAAAAGGCACAGATGCACAAAAAAGATCTTTGGAATGCCGGATTCCAGCTCGAAAAGCGGATCCCCAAGACAACCTTCATCACGGCCCCCTTTTGAGGAGGGATTGGCTGGGGATCCGCTTTTCGAGCTCGAAAAGCGGATCCCCAAGACAACCTTCATCACGGCCCCCTTTCAGGAGGGATTGGCCGGGGATCCGCTTTTCGAGCTGGAATGCCGGATTCCAGCTCGAAAAGCGGATCCCCAAGACAACCTTCATCACGGCCCCTTTTCAGGAGGGGTCCGCTTTTTCCGCAGAGACTGTGCTTTGTTTTTCCGCACATTTGTTTTTTTTTTTTGCGCTCTGCGGGGTTCGCACGTTTTCCGCGCGCAGCGCCAAGCCTCCTACAGCTACAGCTACTACAACAACAAGGAGTAATTACTACTACTACTACTACTACTACTACTACTACTACTACTACTACTACTGCTACTACGACTACTACTACTACTATTTTAGTGCCTCCGGCTCAGGCCGCCGACATTACAGGCCTGCTTTCTTATTTGCGTCCCTTTAGAATTGTCCCCTTGCCCCCTTCCCCTCTGAGATTTTTGCCCCCCCTTTCTTTGTTGAGATCCATTCCCCCTTTCCGCCCTAAGGCCTTTTCTCCCTCTGATGTTTCCCTTTTCCTCCCTAAGATGTTTTCCCCCCTCTCCCTGTTGAGGATCTTTCCCCCCCTTTCCCTGTTGAGATCCTTTCCCCCCTTTCCCCCCTACGGCCTTTCCCCCCGCTGAGATCTTCTCCCTATTCCTCCTTAAGATCCTTTGCCCCCTTTCCCTGTTGAGATCCTTTCCCCCCTTCCCTTTAAGGCCTCTCCAGATCTTCTCCCTTTTCCTTCCTAAGATTGTTTCCCGCCTTTCCCTGTTGAGATCCTTCCCACCCTTTCCCCCCTCAGGCCTTTCCCCCCCCTGAGAGCTTCTCCCTTTTCCTTTCCTTCCTTAGATCTTTCCCCCCTTTCCCTGTTGGCCTTTTTCTCTCAGATCTTCTCCCTTTCCTCCCTAAGATCTTTTCCACCCCTTTCCCTGTTGAGATCATTTCTCCCCTTTCCCCTCTACGGCCTTTGCCCCCAGATCTTCTCCCTTTCCTCCCTAAGATCTTTCCCCCCCTTTCCCTGCTCAGATCCTTTCCCCCCTTTCCCCCCTAAGGCCTTTCCCCCCCTGAGATCTTCTCCCTTTTCCTCCCTAAGATCTTTTGCCACCTTTCCCTGTTGAGATCCATTCCCCCTTTCCCCCCTAAGGCCCTTTCTCCCTCTGAGTTTTTCCCTTTTCCTACCTACGATGTTTTCCCCCCTCTCCCTGTTGAGAATCTTTCTCGGGGGGAACAGGCCCTAAGGGGCAATGGGGGGACAGGATCTCAAACGGGAAAGGTGGAAAAAGACTTTGGGAAGAGAAGGGTGGAGATCTTGGGGGAAAAGGCCTTAGGGGGGAAACGGGGGAAAGGATCTTAAGCCGGAAAGGGGGGAAAAGATCTTAGGGAGGCAAAGGGAGACAAACTCAGGGAAAAGGACTTAGGGAGGAAAGGGGGGGAAAGATCTTTGGGAGGAAAAGGGAGAAGAACTGAGGGTGGGAAAAGGCCTTAGAAGGAAAAGCGGGAAATAAATGATCTCAACAGGGAGCTGGGGGGGGGGGGAAGATCTTAGGGAGGAAAGGGGGAAGATCTGGGGACAAAGGCCTTAGGGGGGAAAGGGGAGAAATGATCTCAACAGGGAAAGGGGTGGAAAAGATCTTAGGGAGGAAAGGGAGAAGATCTGGGGGAAAAAAGGCCAACAGGGAAAGGGGGGAAAGATCTAAGGAAGGAAAAGGGAGAAGCTCTCAGGGGGGGGAAAGGCCTGAGGGGGGAAAGGGTGGGAAGGATCTCAACAAAAAAGGGGGGAAACAATCTTAGGAAGGAAAAGGGAGAAGAACTGGAAAGGCCTTACAGGGAAGGGGGGAAAGGATCTCAACAGGGAAAGGGGGCAAAGGATCTTAAGGAGGAATAGGAAGAAGATCTCAGCGGAGAGAGACAGGCCGTACGGGGGGAAAGGGGGGAAAGGATCTCAACAGGGAAAGGGGCAAAGGATCTTAGGGAGGAAAAGGGAGAAGATCTGACAAGGCCTTAGGGGGAAAAGGGGGAAAGGAGCTCAACAGGGAAAGGTGGGAGAAGATCCTAGGGAGGAAAAGGGAGAAGATCTCGGGGGGAAAGGGGGAAAGGATCTCAACCAAGGGAAAAGATCTTGGGGAGGACAAGGGAGAAGATCTCAGGGGGGGAAAGGCCTTAGGGGGGGGGAAAGGATCTCAACAGGGAAAGGGGGCAAAGGATCTTAGGGAGGAAAAGGGAGAAGACCTTGGGGGGGAAAACGCCTTAGGGGGGAAAGGGCGGGAAAGGATCTCAACAAGGAAAGGTGGGAAAAGATCTTAGGAAGGAAAAGGGGGAAGATCGCGGGGGGAAAAAAGGCCTTAGGGGGGAAAGGAGGGAAAGGATCTCAACAGGGAGAGGGGGGAAAACATCGTAGGGAGGAAAAGGGAAAAACTCAGAGGGAGAAAGGGCCTTAGGGGGGAAAGGGGGAATGGATCTCAACAGGGAAAGGTGGCAAAAGATCTTAGGGAGGAAAAGGGAGAAGATCTCAGGGGGGGAAAGGCCTTAGGGGGGAAAGGGGGGAAATGATCTGAGCAGGGAAAGGGGGGGAAAGATCTTAGGGAGGAAAGGGAGAAGATCTGGGGGCAAAGGCCTTAGGGGGGAAAGGGGAGAAATGATCTCAACAGGGAAAGGGGTGGAAAAGATCTCAGGGAGGAAAGGGAGAAGATCTGGGGGAAAAAAGGCCAACAGGGACAGGGGGGAAAGACCTAAGGAAGGAGAAGCTCTCAGGGGGGGAAAGGCCTCAGGGGGGAAAGGGTGGGAAGGATCTCAACAGGGAAAGGGGGGAAACAATCTTAGGAAGGAAAGGGGGGGGGAAGATCTTAGGGAGGAAAGGGAGAAGATCTGGGAGAAAAGGACTTAGGGGGGAAAGCCCAACAGGGAAAGGGGGGAAAAGATCTTAGGAAGGAAAAGGGAGAAGCTCTCAGGGGGGGAAAGGCCTTGGGAGGGAAAGGGGGGAAAGGATCTCAACAGGGAAAGGGTGGGAAAGATCTTAGCAAAGAAAGGGGGGGAAGATCTTAGGGAGGAAAGGGAGAAGATTTGGGAGAAAAGGACTTAGGGGGGAAAGCCCAACAGGGAAAGGTGGGAAAAGATCTTCGGAAGGAAAAGGAAGAAGCTCTCAGGGGGGGGAAAGGAGGAAGGGAG